TTGATGTAATCTAATGTTAGTAACATTTTATTGTAATGCAGATTTGTAGCACCTATTTATTGTCTTAGTTTATAATTAAGCTTGAGATTTGCAGGTGGATCTAGGTCAGTCCTGAAGTGTAAATTTTGCTGTTGGATTACATGCTGAATGTATGAATTAGGCAGATTAAGATAAAGTATGATTACACAGCAGTCAAAAAGACAGGTCTTTTTAAATTTTTAGTAGACTTTTATTTTTTAGAGCAGTTTTAGGTTCACAGCAAAATTGAGCAGAAAGTACAGTCATTCCTCCATATCCAAGGGGAATTGATTCCAGGACCCCCAAGGATACTGAAACCCGCAGATGCTCAAGTCTGTTATATAAAATGGCGTAGTATTTGCATATAACCTAGGCACATCCTCTCATATACTTTAAATCATCTCTAGATTACTTATAATACCTAATACAATATAAATGCTATGTAAATAGTTGTAATACTGTATTATTTAGGGAATAATGACCAGAAAAAGAAGCCTGTACATGTTCTGTACAGATTAGCCATCATAAGCCTTTCGATTGCCAGTTGATATGGAGGGCCAGCTGTACAGAGTTCCCATATAACCCCTATCCCCACACACCTATAGCCTCCCCCCCAGTCAACATTCCACACCAGTGTGGCACATTTGTTACAATCCATGAACATTCATTGACGCATCATCACCCAAAATTCGTAGTTTACATTAGGGTGTACTTTGGGGGGTTGTATATTCTATGAGTTTTGACAAATGCATAATGACGTATATCTACCATTATAGTATCATAGGGAGTAGTTTCACTAAATATCCTTAAATATCATTTGTACTCCACCTAGTCATCTCTCTTTTGGTCCTTAACCCCTGGCAACTACTGATCTTTTTTACTAAGACAGGTGTCTTTTTGTAGGCCTTGTGGCAAATACCTTAAGTATACTTAGTGTTAAGGTATGGAGAAATATTTGAGGAACAGTTGATCATCTGTAGTTGTCTTTCAGCTTTGACCTTGAAAGGTCCATTTGGAGGCTGGAGTGGGGGAGAACTAACTTGGAACAGTGAATGAGAAAAATCTTTTGGGAGAGCTGAAATCTACTTTCCCAGTAATTTCTTGGCATTGAAGAATGGAAATAAAATCACTATTCTCTACGTAGGGTTTAACTTCAGTTTAAAATCTTAGGGTAATGCTAAATTTAAAAAGACCTCCAATTGTAGGTAGTTGCTGAATGTTAAATTTGCAGGTATTCTAATGAAATTTACATATAAATCTCTTTTATTCAATTGAATATACCAGTATTTGGTGAATGAAGTACTTTTTCTGTAGTTAGTCCAAATTTGGTAGAGAAATCATGATAGGGAGAATAAACTTAGGTGAATCCTGTCGTTGTGCTCCATTATACCTTTGAAACATATTTGCTACACTTTGCTTTAGAAGTCTGTAGACTAGTAATGGTGATAAATATATAGACACAGGCTGCTTGTATATCTGAGGTGCAATCTTTATCCATGCTAATAAGAGAAAACTGGCCACATGGTAGCTATGGTCAACTAATCGAGGTAGAATTTCAAGTTAATAAAGATTTCCTGCTAAGTCGTTTGTTTGTTTTTGTTATTCACCAACTAATGCTTTCTTTACGACAAGAAACAAGACTGTTTGTTGGTTATAACAAAATCAGCGGTGTCCAAATTTGGTCATTGTGATATTTTACCACTTATTAATTTTGAGTTCTTTCTAATTAAAGTGTATTACTTGGTGGGGCTTCATACTTTTAATTGTAATTTTGTGATAAATATACTACTCTTGAGTTGCTAGAAATATTTCCCCAAACTAATAATGTGATTGTCAAATTTGCTCATAAAATAGGTAGGGGCAGGTGTAAAACTCCTGAGTAAAATGTGTAAATTTCATTCATTCAAAAAATATTTATTAAGCACCTGCTAGGTGCCAAGCACTGTTCTAGGTGCTGGGAGATAGAGTGGTCAACAGGATGATTGAGATCCTTATTTTTGTGGTGGATACATTCTGTGGAGGGGGAGATATAGGGTACTCATGCAAACAAATGAAAAGAGGTTATTTTAGATACTGAAAAGGGCTATGGGAAAAAAACCTGTTTTGTTAAAGTGAGTGGTCAAGGAAGTGAGTGGTCAAGGAAGGCCACAATGAGGAGATAACATTTGAGCTGAGACCTAGATGATGGAGAAATAAACCATGTGAATTTCTAGGGACAGCACAGGGGAGAACACAGGACAAAGATTCTAAGGTGGGAAACAGGTTTGGCCTGTTCAGGAAACAGCAAGAGGGCCAGATTGCAGGAGCCAGATCACACAGGAATGCAGAGGCCCTGGTAAGGAATTTAGAGTTTTCTTTTTTTTTCCCTCTATGTTTTTGGTTACAGTGGGAAACTGATTGAGGGTTTTAAGCAGAGGATTGGCAATGTAGGAGGGGAGACATATAATAAATACTTACATAAATATTCAAATGGTGAGTGGATTAAGATTAGGGGAGTATAGGAGGACTAAATTTGGTTAGGAGCCTCAGGGAAGATATACCAGAGGAAATGACGTTTAAACTGAGACTTAAGGAATAAGTATGAATTGATTAGGGGAACTGATTAGGGGAACAATATGGGAAAGAATAGTCCGGGCAGAGGAATACCGTGAGTCAAATATGAGTCTAAAAAGAGTTTAATAGCGTAAGAATCTAAAGAAGGCTAGCTTGTCTGTTTTAGTTTACAGAGAGAAGAGGAGCACCAAATGGAACAGGAGAGATTTGATTTGTAAAGCATTGTGTGGGATTTTATTTGTTAATCCTCTGTAACAATGGTTTTTAGAAGGAGAGTAACTTAATCACATTTACACTACATTACTTAGTTGCTACTCTGTGGAGGTTGGATTGAATTGGAGGAGGGGGCAAGAAGGGGGAGACCCGTTAGGTGCCACTCTAAGTGGGATAAGATGGTGGTGATGGGAACAGGGATGGTATCAATCGAGATTTTGAATGAAGACAGATTTAAAAACTTGGTTATTGATTAGATTTAGGGGTAAGGAAAAGGAGAGATGAATCGAGGATAGCCCCCAGATTCGTGCCTGAACAAATGGGTGGATAGTGATGTCATTACACAGCTACACTGGTTGATTGAACTTCACCGTAGAGTTTTAACATTTCAAGATGTAAGTAAAAGATTCTCCTGTGGGATTGAGTTTTTGAAAATTACTGTTACCTTAATAACAAGCACCTATAGTGCTTACTATGTACCATGCGTGTTTCAGCTCATTTAATCTTGGTGACGACTCTGAGGTAGGTACTGTTATTATCCACATGTTACAGATGAGAAAACAGGCACAGAGAAGTTGTGACACACATCTAGGCAGTTTTGCTCGTAGTTCGTGGTCTTAACTACTGATTAAGCTTGGAAGCTTTTAATCACACAATTTGCATACTGTTTTGTCATTTATCTGCACTCATCTAAGGATACATTAAATTGGAATTTAATGTGTTGTACCTTTCCTGGCAAGTTTACTTTTTGTGCGTTCAGATAGCATATCTGGCTGTATCTGTATACTATTGAAGTAGGCAGTGATAATATCTTCTTTAATTAAATATTGATTGCTTTTACTTTCCAAGATTCTCCTTTGATGTTGTTCGCTCTTTGTACTGTATTGTCACTGTTTGCTGCACATTTTGAAATAGTGTTGTTGATTTTGCTGTGTACAGTTAAAGATGCCTTGTGATGTGGAGGTAAAGGCTCTAATAGTCTTTGCAAATCAAATAAGCTAGATGTTTCTCTCTGTAAAGACATTAAAATCCATTAATATAGGTGTATGATCTTTGCTCTGAGAATAGTGGTTATGTGGATAAGGTATGGTTGTAGTGTTGGCTGGTCATATGCTGCTCCTCAGTGGACTGGCTGTCTCCTGGGAAAGGAGGGACTGTCATTGCATTGAATATAGTAGATACTGTATTTCTCCTTAGATTGGAAACTGACACTTAGTACACAGGCTCAAGGGCTGAGTTTCCTAAAAATGTTGATGTGGGAGAGGATAAGGTCCCCAGGAGTAACTTGTTGCTACATGATCAAGCTAAACAAGGTACATAGCATCTGAAACTAGCTATTATGTGTTTTGTTTTTTTTTTTAAGAACAGAAACCTAAACTTTAGAAATCTGTCTCTGCTGTTACATGTTCTATGGGTATTTCTTCATCACTGTGAAGTAAGCTGCTTCTGCAAAGGTTGCCTTCTTTTGGTGTGCTGGGTGACCAAAGGAAGAGTTTATAAAACTGTTTTTAAGAGCTATGTAATTTTCAAGTGTTGGCTGTGGTTGGTGAACATGAGCCCCAGAGGCAGATGAAACTCTAGGATATAACTCTGCACCTCACTGACGGTTCTTCTTGTGTCTTACACTAAAACATTAATTCTGTGTTTTGCTTTAATAAGGGAGGCTTGTACTGTTAGGTTACTCTTAGTAAATTGTTAGCTTTATCATAAATGTCATTTTTGGAAACCTCTTACGATCTTAGCCCTTTAAGTTTCGGAATGAAAAATAATGTTTATAATTCATATATATGTTTTAATCTTTGTAACTTGGAGTAATGTCCAAGGTTATACCTACAGGGAAAATTGAAATTTGAATTATTAGGTGAAATGGATTCCCCTCCCCCAAGTCTAGTTTCTGTGTGCATATGTAGCAAAAGTTGTTTATAAAATAATGCAGTGTTCAAGAACAGGTACTGCTTCTCTTATGACTTAATTGAGATAGAGGCCATACTTAGTATTGCTGCTTCTCTGTATATGTAGTGAGAAATGTTACCAGTATTCTTGGTCCTATTATAGAGGGAGTGAGAAATCCAATATGTACCTGAACATCACTTTTTGTAACGCTTTTCAAATGATGTATAATGAGGGGAAGTTATTTGAAATTTTGCTTTAGTTGTGACCCTTTAGGAAAAGTTCGTAATGTAGGAATTAACCTGTTTTTCTTTTTTTAATTTTAGGTGAGAATTATGAAGATGATGACCTAGTAAACTCTGATGAGGTTATGAAGAAACCATGTCCAGTACAGATTGTTCTTGCTCATGAAGATGACCATAACTTTGAGCTTGATGAAGAAGCTTTGGAGCAGATATTGCTACAGGAGCACATACGAGATCTTAACATAGTAGTGGTATCCGTGGCAGGAGCTTTTCGTAAAGGGAAATCATTTCTACTGGACTTCATGCTTAGATATATGTATAACAAGGTGAATAGTGTCTTTTAAATTGAACCCAGTTAAAAACAAAAACTATCAATCAATCAACCTTGTTTAGAAATAAAGCAGTAAGAGCTGTATCTTTAATTTTACAAAAATACAGTTCTTGATAAGACTTCTCAGTTAAGATGGTAATGTAAGTTAGTTTGAGCTCTTGATTCTTCTTCATCTCCATAATTCCTTTTTGTGTATAGTGCATATTGATGCATGTGATTTAGCATCTATGTTCCAGGCATTGTAGCTCTAACCCAGCGTGTCTGAGTATGCTCTCAAGTCTCTGAAGTATTGTTCATCTCTCTCGTTGCTCTTTTCTACACCTTTCCCTTCTTGATCACCTTTACAACGATGGGTGAAGTAGGCTTAAGAGACTTTTGTGAAAGTACACCTGTGCTCCTCAAATAAGTCACCTTCAGTGACTATTACTTTTTGAGGTCAAGTGCAGTTCCTTAGAGTGGCTTCCATGGCCTTCCATGATCTCTGAGCCTCATCTCTTGCCTCTGTATGTCAGGTATACTATAGTTTTTGCAGTTCCTCAAGTGTGTCGTGTTATTTCTCACATGTTGCTGTACCTTGGCTAATCTTTTTATAGGAGGCCTTCCCTGATTTCTAAGACTATGTTTTATCCTCCTCCCAGCTCTCGTGGCACAGGTCATATGTTTCATTGATACTATTTTAGTTACTTATTTTTCCTGGCTAGTTTAACCTGTGTCAGGAGTGGGCCTTATCTTGATTACCATATCTCCCAAGCCTAGCACAATAACTGGCCCATAGTAAGCACTTATTTTCTATTTTGACTGATGAATCTCCCTCTCTCTACACATTTTCACTTTTTGATGGTACTAGACAATTGTTATTTCCCTCTTCCTCCCTGACTTTGACTTTCTCCTCTGAAAAAAAGCAAAAAAAAATTTCACTTGAATCAGAATGTTTTTCTAACAGTTGAAAATTCTGCTGAGGGAATGGGAGTTTGATAGGGACCAAGAAGAAGGATTGGAAATTTGGAGTGGAGCACTTAGGGGCAAGGGCTTTACCAGGGGGCTTTTGACATTCAGAAGCCACGTGAAGACGCTAGAAGTAACACTTTTATAGAATTACGTAATTGTCTAAACACCAGTCAGGGTGCTTACCTTTACGAGTCCTATATAAATCTGTAACTGGGTGTGCATCTTGGCATAAATAATAAGGTAAACATTCCCAGTTGATTTTTCTAGGAGGCTTTTCAGTAAATTCTTTTCATAGGGATCTCTTCAGGCATGTTCAAGTATGCCTGAGTATCAAGAATGCAGTTCATGTTAAAGAAGAATGCAGTTCATGTTAAAGAACAGTATTTTACAGGGTACTACAGAGAAAGATACAGTATTTTAAAGTTTTTCCATTTAGACTTGATTATTTCCCAGAGTTTTACATCTGAAATAGAGAAATGTATAAGCAGTGACATATTCTTGTAAGAAAAGACTGTGCATTTAAAGATGATAAAAGAATTCCTGTATTTTGAGATTCTAACTCCTTCGATTAGCTTGTGTATATTGTATCTATGTGTGTCTGAGCTGTTCACTGCAAATGTATTTGATTCCAAGTAGGTCATAGACAGTAGAATGTTAGAAGGGAAGGGAAGCTTAGATCACTTGTCTAGCAGTGACAGAAAAGTTTCACCTCAGGTGCCATTTCTGATTCCATCTCTGATCAATTAGTAGTGGCTGTTCAGAGGGGGAGGAGCAGCCCACACATGTCATGTATTTGCAATCTCTGAACTAATAGAATTCCCTCTTTCCTGGTGGAGACACTGAAGCCACAGAAAGGTTGTAAGGCCTGAGTGAGTACACAGCTAGTTATTGGCTTCTAAGCTGAAATGTCTTTTTTAATATTCATCCGTAAGGTTTTCATGTAGAATTCCTGATATAAATAATCTTATTCTGTTAATTGCCAATTGCATTAAACAGTGTCTAATTTTAGGGATAACATACCTCTGCTTACACTGATTTAGTGGTGGGTCATGCTTTTTCTAGGAGATGAAAGTAAAGGAGACATAACAATGGGATAGTTTTGGATTTATTTCATCAACCTATATGCCTGCAAAGGCGAGATGCTAGCTGAAGAAGGTAGGAGATGAGCAGTGGCTTATACTGACTTTGTATATCTTCTGTATTGACCTGAGTCAGTTTATGTAAGGGTGTTGTTCACTAAAGGAGCTAAAGGTAAATATTTTACTTTATGATTTAGAAATAGATGAATGTTATCATTTTGAGTAGTTAGTAAAGGAATCATAACACAAGGCTGAATGTAAGCTCTTTTATATTGGATAAAAACAAAAACTTCGATAGCTAAGTTCTTAAAACTAAGAATATTCTGAGGTTTTTACCAAACTTTCTAAATTATAAGGGAAGTTTTGCCTTTTAGGTCTCATTTTCATGTGAAGTAAATAGCTTCTTGTACAGTTTGTTTTTTGAGCTACTACTTGTATTATGAAAAGAAGCTGTTTTTACTTGAAATATAGGACGAAAGAAATTAGTCTTTTGTAAACTTGAGATGTGAACTAAAAGTTTTTCTAGAATAAATTTCCTCATGTCAGAGCTAGTCAATTATTATAGTTAAGCTTTTACCATGAAGTATAAAATATGAGAGTATCATATAATTGCTGATTTATTGAATTCATAATGCAGGAAACATTTTGAACTTATAAGGATATCACGTATAACATTCACTGTGAATGCCATATATGAGGAATACCACAGAAATTTAAATATTGTTGATGTACCTAATAATTTGTAAGTAGAATATTTATTATAAAAGTCATTCTCAAAGTTACGAAATGAAATAATTTTAAAAATTTACATGGAACTATTAGGTCTATTACGTCAGTGTTTTTAAAGAAATCACCATATTATTTCATGTGTAAACGTAGGGAGTTACACAAGAGGAGATTAAAATCTGTAATGAGAGACAGATTTGGTGGTGGTGGTGGTGGGAGGGAGGTTGACTTTTTGAAATATATGTGTATACTCCTGAGTATTCTATGCCTTTCCCTTTCAAATGCTGATTTGGCTGTTTAGGACTGTAGTTCGGGTAAATGTATTTTATCTTTTTTTAAATTTTTCTTTTTTTTTGAAGTATAATTTACATAAAGAAAAGTGCACAAATCTTAAGTGTATAGCTTGATGAAATTTTACATGTGTATAAATCCATATTACCACTACCCAGGTGAAGATATAGAACCCCCTGCTTTGTTATATCCTTCCCAGTTAATATCTACCCCCCGAAAGGTAACCACTATTCTGAACTCTCTTAGCACAGACTAGTTTTGCCTGATTTTGACCTTCACATGAATGAAATCATACCATAGGGGTTTGTGTTTGACTTATTTCATTAGCATATCTGTGAAATGTACCCATGTTTTTGCATGTAGCGGTAGTCCATTATTTTTGTTACTTTAGTATTCCACTATATGATTATACCACATTTTATTTATCCATTTAACTGTCAATGGATATTTGCTTTGATCTTTTTAAGTTTTAGTAAGCTGATTTTTGTGAATCACATGCTTCCAAAGTGAAGTAGATTACTCTAGTGTCAACAGGAATTGTTAGAAAAATGCTGATCTAATTGTCATGTAAAAGTAATTTCAATTCCGAGAATCAGTTTAAGAAGGTCAAAACTTCATTTTAATAGAATTAAATTATATAATGTATGTAAAACTTAATACTTGGGATGTATTGAACACTAAGTAATGGTGCTAGCTCCTATTGAACCCATCTAGATAAGGATTCTTAATTCTGTACAGAGTTGCTTCCATTTTTCTATCATTCTCTATGTTTTTTCTCATTTCATCTGTACCCCAACTCATTTCACACTTTATGTATTGTTTTGAAGTGTATCGATAACATTTCATTTGTAAATATTTCAGTATGTATCTCTTTAAAGATAAGGGCTTTTTTGGACATTACAGTAATATTAGACATAAAAATCAGTAATTCCTTAAGTTATGTAATATCTTATAAATGATCAATTTTCCAGTTGCCTCAGATGCTTTAAGTTTTTTTTAAGTTTGTTTGAATCAAGATCCAATCAAATGGGGTCCACATTGTGATTGGTTGTCTTTAAAGTGTTTTTAACTCTTTTTGGTTTCCCTCCATCTTTTTTCTTGGTAATTTATCTGTTCTTGAAGAAACTGACGGTTAGTCTTATAGTTTCCCAGTCTCGGTTTGCTGATTTTATCCCACTATTGTGGTTTTAGGTGTTCCTTTGTCCTGTGAATTTCCTGAAATTTGTTAGTTGAATCCAGAGACTTGGTCAGACTCAGGTTCGACTTTTGGCAAGAGCACTTCATAGATGATGTATTCTTCTGTGAAGAGGCCCATATTATCTTTTAAGATAACAGTTTTTGAATCTTTACTGAGTTCTAGGTACTTGGATTACTAAGCATTTAATAGATTATCTCACTCAGTATTCACAATAACCCTGTGCAGAAATATTAGTATTTCAACTTGGTAGTTGAAGAAATGAGTCTCATTGAGGCTCTAAGTGGCAAGGATGAGATTCTGGACCAGGCAATTTGATGCCAAAACCTTTATTCTAAAAATTACTATGTAAAATGATATTTGGTCCTTTTGCGTAACTGCACTGAATTGTTCTTTGGTAAATGTTCCATTTCTCAGTGTTTGCTTCAGAAGTTGAAATAGACTGACAGGAGTGCATGCATGGTAACTTTTCCTTGCTGCCCACTGGTATCTATGCTTAATGGGTAAAGAGTTTTGACTCCATTTATGACATAATTACTAACACATTTTAAGGGAAATTATATGTAGTTTTTATTCTTTACTATTTAAAAAGCTGCTCCCTGGGGCTGGCCCCATCGCGTAGCGGTTAAGTGCACGCACTCCGCTGCTGGCGTCCCGGGTTTGGGTGCCGGGCGCGCACCAACACACCGCTTGTCAGGCCATGCTGTGGTGGTGTCCCATATAAAGTGGAGGAAGATGGGCATGGATGTTAGTTAG